AAAAAAAAAAAAAAAAAAAAAGAGAGAGAGAGAGGTGTCCTGCTGTCTGGGCTCTCAGGGTACTAGCTAGCAGTATAATTAGGAAGGTCCACCAGGGGCTCAAATGGCTCACTTTTGTCATTTGTTTTCTTTATGATCTTGTCTGGAGGGTAAAAATGGATATGTGTCAGAATAGAAACTAACAATAGGTCTTGTGTTGTTGAGAAAAGTCCATTTGAAAGTAAAAGAGAACAAAGTTTTAGCTAATAACCCTAGTTAAATCTCTCTCCATTAAATTTGCTAGCATTTGCAGGCATTTGACTGAATAGCTAAGGTATGAGTAGTAGAAAATTGTGAACATTTTTATGTCCCTTAAGGACATTAAGACAGTGCTCAGTCCTTGCACAGTAGAGATGGATTTTTCTTAGTCTGTATGGTCCTTAGCATTCAAAACTAATCTAAAAACTGTGCAGTGCCCCAGGTACTTATGGTTTAAACTCTATCTTGAAAGAGTTTAGTTTTTCTTGTTTGAGAAATTGTTATTATATTGTAAGATTAATCTAAACATTAAGACAAGTATCACATGATCTCACTTATATGTGGAATCTAAAGAACAAAATAAACTGATGAACAAAATAGATTCAGTGACATAGAAGCATGGAACAGACTGAGGGATCTCAGAGGGAAGGCAAGGGTTGGGGGAGTGGGTGGGGAGAGATTAACTGAAGAATTTATATGCTTATATCCATAACCCATGGACACAGACAGTGGTGTGGTGAAGGCCTGGGGCAGGGTGGGTTGGAGTAGAGGGGTCAATGGGGAAAAAAGGAGACATCTGTAGTACTTTCAACAATAAAGATAAATTTAAAATAAAATAAAATTCAAGATGAATTTAATATATGGGAAGTGACCATCACATTCATCACCGTGCTTAGGGGTAAAGAAACACTGAGAAAAAGGGTAGATTTAAAAGAGGAACACAACACAAATACTCACAAAAAAGGGTATTTGAAATAATTTTTATTCTTCTCTCTCTCCATTTATGTCATCACCTTACAACCCTTTTTTTTGTGTGCAGGTGCTGTATACGATGAAATGTAATCAAAGTGTGTTGGTTTTTATTTTTTAGTCAGAACCATGTTTAAATTCAGGTCAGGTAGAGAAGCAATATCATTAACGGTGGGACAATAGCGTGGGCCCCAGATCCCTTTGTTGCATGACCCTGTCATGCAGGTGTGGTGTAAACGAAGATGCATTGTTATTATTTTTTTAGTGGCTATTGTATTTAACAAAAAGAGAACCTGAACCTGCAGCCATTTTGAAGGCTCAGTGGATTGAGTCCACAGTAATCCATGATTATCTGGAGATCACTGATAGGAGCAAGTGCCCAGGCTCAGATGCTGTGAAAGCTGATTTTTCCTTTCCCAGGAAGCTCTTGTCAGACTGGATTTCTGGTTTACAGGATTAGAACCCAGACCTCTCATGCACCAGTAAATAGTTATTTGAAAGTCTTTGTTACTACTAAACTCATCACAAAGTGGAAAGAAATGCTTTCTGTTCAATGCATGGGTTTAGCAGGTGGGACAGAAACTCATGGCATTAGGCCTGGTAGTTTACCTTCTTCTTTCAAAAAGGAAAGGTTTGGGTGCCGGGGGTGGGTGGAGGTGGAAGAGGGCCTAGAGGGGATTAGTGGTGATGAAAAATAAATAAGTAAATAAATAAATAGAAAAGGAAAGATTTGATTATTTCAAGTATTGTGCAATCTTGCAAAGTAAGGTCTCCATAGCATCAGCATCACCTGGGAATTTAACCGTGCCTTCCACCTGGGATGGGGCCCAGCAATCTGTATTTTCATAAGCCTTCCAGGTAGTTTTAAAGCATGTTAAAATTTGAGAACCACTATTCTAAGGCAATTTGGATTTTCAAAAGTATTCATTTCCTCTGGCAGATATTATGGTATACGCTTAAAAGGGTTTAGTATGGTCACAAATTTGTGCCACCATAACCACAATCTAATTCCAGAACATTTTTATCACCCCAGTGGGAAGCCCCATACTTAAGCAGTCATTCCCTGGCAGCCACTAATCTACTTTCTGCCTCTGTATATTTGCCTATTCTGGACATTTCATATAAGTGGAATCATATAATATGTGGTCTTTTGTGACTGGCTTCTTTTCACTTAGCGTAATGTTTCCAAGGTTCATCCATGGTGCAGCGTGAGTCAGAACTCCATTCCTTTTACGGCTGAATCAGATCCCATTGCTTTCACATTTCTTGTATCCTTTTATCAGTTGATGGGCTTTGGGTTTTTCCACGTTTTATCGACTCTGAATAATGTTGCTGTGAACACCTGCGTACATGTTTGTGTGAGGATCCAAATTCTGATTGAGTTGCACCTGGGGTGGGGTCCACAGTACAGGTATCTTTCAAAAGCTCCGCAGTGATTTTAATGTGCAGGCAGGGCTGAGAACCTCTGACTCAGAACCTCATTCCTCAAGGTGTGGTCCATGGACCTGCAGCCCAGCATCACCAGGGAACTTACTAGAAATATGGATTCTTGTGCCCCACCCAGACCTCCTGAGTCAGAAGCCACATTCCAACAGGATCTCCAGGTGATCTGTGTGCTCATCAGAGTGTGAGAGGCACTGGTTCCCGGAGATACTCTGGGGCTTCATCTACAGAGTGTAACATTGTCCCTCTGACAAAATGCACAGCAGAGTCTGAACAAGAAATTCATTAGGGACTGACTGCCTTTATCCCCTGGACACGTGCCAAAGAAAACTGGGGACAGACAGACTCATTTGAGCCTCCACCCTGTCCCCAGGGCCCATCACAGTGCACGGCACAGAGCAGGTGTGGGATACGGACTTGTCAAATGGAAACACCAGTGAGCCGCTGAACCCTTGGTGTGTCCATGCGCCTTCAGGGAACCAGCTCCCAGGAACTGAGAGCTCCACTGACAGCAGCTATGTGATTTTAGCATGTTAAGATGCTAAGATCCTCTATTTCTGAGTCATTAAAATGAGGCAGTGCATATGGTGAATCATAGGCTGAGTACAAGTCAGATTATTTGAGCATTGGAAGTGGTAACTGAGACTGAGTGGTGTCCCCAGCCCATCCCAAGAAAAAAGATTAGTCTCTGGGTTACACTCTAAAATAATCACAGAAAGAAACTGCACACATCTGCAAAGTCACATTAGTCAGAAGCGATGGACCCAGACCTGAGTCTAGAATGAAGGAATCAATCTGGCTAAGAAAGGCGAGGAAGTCTGCAGAGGGCTTGATCATCGTGAGGAGCAGAAGGGACAGTGACACCATGAGCCTGGGCCAGGGGTTGCATACTGGAGTGTCCCTCTCCCCCGGCCTTCATCAAAACTCAGGGCAACTTTCTCCTTCTGTATTTATTGCAGGTACCTTTTGTATCTGCAAATTAAAAGAGATATTTTCCACGGTCGACTGCTCTGTTCCTTCTCGGATGCTGCCTACCTGGGTGCCTGTATCGTTCAAGGTAAGTTGAACTGACTGTAGAACTTCTGCTGTTTAGAGCCTCCCTCTTCCCCCACCTGTGCTCATCCTGCCCCTGTCCGTGGTTCGTGGTTCGAGGCCAGGCAGGGCTGGGTACTCGGCAGCAGAGCTTCTGGTTATCTTCTCTTTTAAGCCAGTGGGGTCCTGGTGAAGTCTGGGCTGCTGTCTGCAAAAACAGGTCTTCAAGGTCCCGTGGTAGAGCTTAGAATGCGTGACTTTATGAGAAGCTCTCAGTGATTGTGGGGTGCTCTGTGCTCTGAGCTCTGATCACCAGCTGTGGAGCTTAGTGGGTCTACCGAGGGGAAACTGTCCAGGAAGATAGAAGTAAATTCACACATTTGAATGAAATGTCAGAAAACACACACACAAATAGGTATGTTCATTCATATGGGTACATGTACATTGTGTCTAACTCTTCAGCTTCTCTAGTCACGTAGGGTGGTGAGGGGGGCACCAAGCCCACGGTCTGTGGTGAGACTCAGGTATTCTGTTCCCCTGGGCCAGTCAGGAGGCAGCTGGCAGCAGGGGATGTCTAGGGGATCCAGCCATTTGTAGCATGAATGCCAATGACACGTTTATGAGAGAAGGGGAGAGGGGGGAGAAGAGAGGAGGGAGGGAGAAAGGAAGAGAAAGGAAGAGAGACCAAGTGAGCATATCACCCTTATAAAGGGTCTGGAATAATGAAGGGGCTCACGATGGGCCATAAGTGGGTCATGACAGTTGTCTGCTGATCACAGTTCCAAACTTCATTCACAGCTTAAGAGAGAGAGACACCCATCCTTCTCCCGGGGTGTGATAGGCAGACCTGCCCCTGTGGGGTGCTCTGTGCTGTGAAATGATTCCGTGGAGGACCCTGTTTCCAGGTGTGTGCTCTGAGGATTTAAAAGACATGTCTGTGCCGATTCTCCCCTTCCCCTGGGAGCAAACTAGTGCCGCACAGCAGAATTTGGCAGAGGGCTCGAAATCCCTGGAGAAAAGATATGCGCGCCTAAAGTCAGAATGACAGTGATAGGTGATGGGAAAGGTCCTTCCATCTGCCCAAGGGGGGGCATGGGCTTCTGAAAGCTGCCTCTCTTATATCAGAGCTCGGGGAGGTGGACACCCCATAGCTCTCCCCTTCCCCTTGGAGATGGCAAGGTCCTAGTAAGGGAGCATTATGTTCCCTGAGGGAGAGGGGCATCAGTGCGAATCCAAGCAGCGAACCCACAGGGGAGGATTTCAGGGTGGTTAGGCACTCCTCAATAATGCTCGGTTCCCCCAAGGGCAAGCTCCGTGTGGATCTATAAGGGGAAACCCTCCCTTCTGTTTTACGCTTGAAATAAAGCCACAGAGGCTCCGTCCAGGTGATGGGGGCCTTATTTGATGTCTCATTGTCATTCTCACCGACCACACACACACACATGCTGTGGAGAGAGTAGAGTTGCAAACGGACTGCAGACTGCTGACCTCGAAAGGACCTTTCAGCTCAGAAATGCAGTGGTGTCCATGGGCCATTTATAGCAAGTCCAGTAAAAGCGGATCCATAAAGTTCTCTGGGGCTGGCACCATTCTTCAGCAGCCCTAGAGATCTTTACAAATGCAGATAAGAGATCATTACAAATGCGGATAAAGATCTGCTCTGTAGAAACTGCTAATGCTTAAAGAGAGAGGTACGGAAAGCTGAGTAAAGGATTAGAAAGCAGGAGGCCTTGTGACTTTTCTTTGGCTTCTCCTTTGCCAATGGTCTTTTTTTTAATTTAGATTTTTTATTGTTGACACTGTTGCATCTGTCCCCCATTTTTACCCCCTTTGCCCACCTCCCAGCCCCTTCCCCTCTCCCTTTACCTTCCCCACACTGTTGGCTGTCTCCGTGAGCTATGCGTATATGCTCTTTGGCTAATCCCTTCACCTCCTTTATCCAGGCCACCCCATCACCTTCCCCTCTGACCTCTGTCAGTCTGTAAAATGTATCCATGCCTCTGGTTCTATTTTGTTCATTAGATTCCAAATATTAGTGAGATCATGTGGTATTTGTCTTTCTCTGACTGGCTTATTTCACTTGCCAACACTCTTTGAAGGAGCATGTTTTTAGCTTCTATATATTCTGAGTGTATGAAAAACAGGCAGGCCACCCCGAGTTTTGCCACTGGTACATACTGAACGCAAGGGTCATATTTAGTACATGCCACACATTTTCTTTCATAAGAACAAATTACAAAACACACACACACAGGACCCTAGGGATCTATTTCCATCCTTTTTCAGTAAAAATACGTTTCTTCTACAGAACAGCAACAGGGTGGGGTTCTTGTTATCTCCTCTGCCTGGTGTGTTCGACCCCTGTGGGTCTGTGGCTCCTACTAGATGTTGAGAACTCAGTTCAGATGTTGCTTCCTCCGAGAAGTCTTCCTGGACTACTACAGTAGCCTTCCTCCTGCACATCATTACATCATTCTTGCTCACACTGTTTTGCTGTCTTTTAAGCACTTCCGCCTCAGATGGCCTTGTTGAGTTGTTTTGGGGCTTATTATGCATCCCCCCCCCCCC